GAGATAGCCTCTTAGCAACACGAATACCTAAGGCCGCAAGCGCAAGCCGTCACACCACCTGAAGATCGAAAGGAGAGCGGCACACCGGACAGGTATGACTTTCTTTGGATCCACTTACGGCCCAGTGTGCAATGCAGTCTTCGCAGAACACGTGGCCGCAGGGCAAAAGCGCCTTGCATTCTGGCTCCTCATCCATACAAATGCAGCAGCCTTCCAATTTGGGCTTGCAGACCACTTTCGGTTGGGAGTCGCCCACTTTTGAAATAGAGATCTCCTCATTGGCGCGGATTCGGATCTGGAAATGCGCGAAGGTCGGGCTGTCCTCGCAAGGGTCACTGCTGATGTTTGCCCAAACTCGATGTTGCCAGTTGATCTTGGTAAGGCGGGCAAAGATCCAGGTCTTGAGAAGGCTGACCGACAGCAGCAAGAGCTGCAGAGCCGCACAGGGCAAGACGTAGCCCTCAGCCCAGATTCTGAGCAAAAACGAATCGCGATGCCTTTTAGGCTGATTGATTTTAATTCGAACCCCAAGCATGTTTAAACAATATCCCATTGTCTAACAAGGATTATCCTCCCTCTGTGTTGAAACGGGAAATCCCCCCCTTGGCCAAAAGAGGGAAATCCAAAAAAAAGGACGACAAAGCAAAACGTACAAGCACTGTTTGTCCGGGAGGCTGCCCAGTCTTTTTTTACTGCTGGGGTGATCAGCAGCACCGCAACTGCTACGAGCACGATGAGCTTGCCCGCCCAAAATTTCCTCGGCCAACAACAAACACAAAAAACACTATATACCTAGAACTTCTTTCGGCTTTCTTTTTTTGCCGCAATGCTTGGCGGCGGACATTTCCGCCGAAGAAGCAACAAAAACAACGATTTCAAGGAACAAAACACCGAGGCGCAACAGAAAAAAAAAAAAAAAAACAACAACAAAAAAAACGAAATGCGAGACACAACGCCAATATTCTGCTGATTTTCCGCCAGATTCCTCTGAATGGTTGGTTTGCATTTGGCTTCAGGCACCAACCCAAGGGGGTTGACTCGGTGAATGGGTTCAGGAAGGCACTGATTCCTTTCTGATGCGAAAAACACACATGATTGTGCTTTGGTGCAAGCGATTGGAGCTCGTGCATCAGAAGCCCCTTAGGGTCCACCGAAGAACACGATCCCTTCCACCAAAGAAACCCTAACCCCTGTCCTGGCTCTGTTGCCTTGCGGCCTGGTGTCCTGCCATGCAGACCTTTCGCTCCCCCCTTTGCCCCGCAAAATAGTGCAGGCCAGGCGCGGGTCCCTGGTCTCAACATACAAAGAGTTCTGGCTGTCCCCGCGTCTCGGCTGGACGCGAGTGCCCTCTCTGACATTCGCCCCGGATCCTGGCACGCTCGTAGCGGATCCGAACCGCACGAGCCGCGCTCACATCGCATCGGAGCCTGCCGTCTAACCAAGTTCCGAGAAGCAACAGGAGAAGCTCGTCTACCCAAAGTCCCGACTATGCTAAGAGTTTGCACCTCGGGTGCATGGTCCCTAAGCTTCTACCCGGCTCGCAGGACCCCAGGCCCCAGATTCTCCACCGAATCAAGATTATCAAACAACAGGGAGCCGCGAAAAGGGTTGGTGTCTTTCTTCTTCTTCTCCTTCTTCTTCTTTTTTGGTGACCTTGAAAGGGGAGAAGGGGGCAGTTGGCCCCAAGTTTGGCCACATGGTGCCTGGCTCGGAGAGGGAAGGGAGGGGGGAACGGACCCGCGAAAAAGGGGAACCGAAGAACGCCGATTTCAACTGGCCTCCCTTAGGGAAAGAAGCGAAGCGTCTCCAAGTGGACAATCCCCCCAAATGATGTCCACAGGGCCCTTGAATGACTTGGAAATTCACACCCATGGTGATTCAGAGTGAGAGAAACGGTGGCCAAGCTTGGTACAGTTTTTGGGGGCTGATGACATCTGATGACTCTTCGAATGGGGATGGTCATCAATGAATCATCAACCTTCGAACGGGTGTTTATCAAAATAGGGGACGCGAGAAAACAAACTGCTTCTTTGCTTGTGTTATTTTAAATGGTGTTTTTCCCTTTTGGTTTACCAGTTGGAGCCTCAAATGAGCCTGAGCGCACCTTGAAGATCTTCGGAGGTACCTGCCGCTCCTGGCAACGCGGTGGTTCAAGACGTGACTCGGATCTCCTCCAAAGAGGGAACCCCAGTTGGGGTCGCTCCAAGGGGTTGATTCCCATCCAGAAAGAACACCTGGTGAGACCCCCCCTTCAGCCAAGGGGTTGTTCACATCCAAAAGAATTAGTTGCCCTAAATCAGCTGGCATGGCGACGCTGTCAGCCCAAATGACCCCAAATCCTCTACAGGACCCTCACCGACGTCTTCGGGCTTTGCTCCAAAGAGCTTGCGATGCCTCGATGGCCAAATTGGCGCTTGGACAATGCAGAGCCGGAAGGTGAACTGGGCATCTTACATGTCCTTTGGCAAAGGCATGTTTAGGTATGGTGTTTGGAGTCTCATTGTGGCTTTTGCTGATACATATATAGCGCCCATCTTAGATCGAAGGCGGCACATATATTCATATATATATATATATTGTCGCACCCCCCATGATTACCTTCCCTTTGTCTCCTTGAATTCATATTCCAAACAACCCTGTATAACATGCCGGGGGAATATCGAAACCATCGAAGCCAAGTTCCGGATCGCTCCGTGCCTGAGCTGCTGGCTCCGGCAGCGCCTCGAGTTTTTCAAAGGTTTTATCACACGGCTCGTCTTTTTGACAAAAAGGTGACCCCCAAAATGGCTCGAACACGTCCTCTTGGATTCCTGAAACCAAAAAGCAAGTAGCCTCAAGATAAGACGTACCAAAGTAGCCTCAACAAGATAAGATACCCACATGGGTTCCCCGAAGGATTTCTGAAGTTAGGAACATCATGCAGAAAGATTCCCCGCTCCAAGGCTTGAAGCTTCGGGAGCTTGCCTTTGATTCGCCAGCGATTCAAGCGAAGCAACTGTGCCGAAATGGGCTCCTTGGTAAATGAAACCAAACACTAAAACCTGCGTAACCCTGGCTGTTTGATCTTGAGCCAAAACAGATTGTCACGCAATGACCGTGTTTCTGCTTCTCGATTCGCTGACTTGATCCTCTGACACCATTTCTTCTCCAACAGCGTCTTGAAGCAATCATGGCCTACAGCAACACGCACTTCAGCAACGTCACCTAGTCAGAAGCTTCCACCGGTGGACCCAAAACGTGGCATTCACCACACGGCAGGTCGATCTCGATCCCCACATCTTGGTCGAGCAACCCACCCAGCCATGATAACAAAGGCCTTTGTTGGCTGCTATGCTGCGCCCCAAAAAATGTCACCCAATCAAATGAGCACCCAGCGTTTTGTGCGTTGGTTCGGGCCTGATTGGGTCTGCGCCAAAACTAGATACCCCTAGATATGGAAGATTGTTTTCATGTTGGCGACCTTCAAAGGCTGCGAAGCTTTTGACGTGCATCAATGTATGGCTTCTTTGAAGCCTCGCTTGTACAAAGCGTCGCTTTCACGTTTCCTTTTGGTCTGTCCTTTCTTCCTACAAGTACCTCTCTTCCCATCCCACCACGTTCCCACCCTCCCCTTCAACCCCTTCAAAATGTTCTCACCCTTTTCCCGCTTCCCCGCCTGTCCCAACCTTTTCTACCTTGCCACCGCATCCTACCTTCTCACCTCTTGTCTCCCTGCTGAAAAGAAGTCTTTTGGTATTCCTTGTGACCCTTTGATGGGTACTATAGGTTGGGCGGTGTCAGTTCTTTTTAAGATTCAACCCAACTTGGGGGTTGCCTCAATATGAGATCAAGGCATCGACTATCCCAAGCCCCAATCAAAAACCGCCTCCAATCTGCTCCTCTGTCCGCTCTCTCGGCACCCCTGGCATGGCTGCAGTGAAGCGCAATGACATGTAATGACACTCATTGACTCATTGGGGCATCCGGAGCGACAAACATAGATGAACAGCCCCCGAAATGTAAAACGAACACATGCTTAGCGCCTGTTGAACAAGTCAAATAGCATGAAGAGCTCAAACCAAACCACACAGGCTTCAGAGAACCCCTGCAGCGTCCCTTGCATTCAAGCTCGTTTGCGCCAATGAACCCCTTGATTGAAATGGTTGGTGTCCTCTCCTTTGACAATCCAAACTTTCAATCAAGTTCCCAAACAGGTCGAGTTTCGGCCAGCACAACACCCCGCACCTGCCAAATGCTCGTCGGCTTCGCCTGCGCGTCCCATCCGGCCGTCCGGCCAAAAGTGCTTGGGATCCCTCGCGCAGTGGCCATGCATCTTAGACACTCCCTTTGACATGCGCGTAACACCAAAACGCCGAGAGATGCAGGCTGCAACTGCTCAGCCCCTGACTCTTTTGCCGCGTTTCCACTCGTGACCACACGCTTGCCGGATCCAGATTTGTCTTTTGAACCTCCAGGACCTTCTAAAAGATTCCCTTTCCAAACCCTCTGCATACTGAATGCCCAAAAGGAAGCCACAGGAATGGTAGTTGCGAAAGCCTTGGTCACGCCATCCACGTCCCTCTTCCAGATCTCCTGGAGAATTCCAAGCCAACGTGACCAACCCTCTTCTCAGCGCTTGTTTGGGCAAACAGGCCCTTTTGAACATGGGAAATCTGAGTGGAACCCTAAAGTGGCCTGAAAAGCTATGACCCACATCTACAAAGACTTCAACAAGTGCCCCCCTGCCAGCCTTGCTGTTGGAGGGTACCCTCCAAGATTGGCATACCCGCTTTTGCACAATGCAAGTGCGCAAGTTTTGGCGCACAGCCTTGAAACGGCCTGTCTACTTTGATTGATAAGGGGTCCCACATGTTCCAATGGACGCCTGCGCAAGCAGCAGAAGCAATCATGGCGGTCGGAACGGCTACGTGCGCGCTGCCTTTAAGCAGCGCGCCGTTCTTATGTGCCGATTGGAACTATGTGAAGCCTGCTTAGAGTCTGCGCTTTCTGGCCTTGAAATCTGGCGTCTGCGGGCAGGTGTGCTCACAAGCCATCTGCAATGACTGCACGCCGTCGGCTGTGATTGTTTTGACATGAAAGCCATCGTGCTGGCTCTGACAGTGATACGAGGCGTAGCCGATGATCTGATGCCGCTGCTGATGCTGCTGCTGATGCTGTTGCTTCTGATGAATGATGATGATGCTGATGATGACAATGCCGATGATGATCATGATCATGATGAAAATGATGACGATGACGATGATGGTCATGATGAAAATGATGACGATGACGATGACGATGATGATGACGATGACGATGACGCTGATGGTGATGGTGATGGTGATGGTGATGATGATGGTGATGGTGATGATGATGATGATGATGATGATGATGATGATGATGATGATGATCATGCTGATGAGGGTGCTGATGCCGCTGCTGATGCTGCTGATGCTGATGATTATGATGATGATGATGATGATGATGACCACAATGAGGATGGCAACGTCGACGAGGATCATTATGATGATGATGATGCTGATGAGCCCGATGAGAATCATGATCATGAATAATGATGCTGCTGATGCAGGCATACGCGTTCCCCCGTGCCTTGTTTTGTCCGTAGCATGTCACGCAGAGTTTAAACACTCACTGGGACGAGAATCTGCAAACAGTTTCACGCGCCACGTGACTGCGCATGGATAACAGTACTGTAGTAGTACATTTGGTGCCGCGGCTTTCCAACAGCTGATGACCATTCGCTCAGAACTCTCCCTTCAGGGCGAGAGTTTGTGCCATTTTTGCGGCTTCATTGGGAACGACAATCAGTCTGTGGGCGCATGCCACCGCACTGCCCAATGGAAAGGGTCAAGAGAGTTAAAAAAGCTTGGAACTTAGCACTCTTGGATGTTCACAGCCCTTTCAGGAAGCGGAACCACAGGTCACACTCGCTTCCCTCCAGCTGCTTAAGTCCCCTAGACAAAATGAACATATATCCGGTAGTGATAGATTCCTTTTAAAACCAATAGGGGACATTCAAAATATTAAGCCAATGGAAGCCTCAGCATTGCTGAAACAATTGAAGCGTGCAAGGCTTCCACTGCAAGCATGTGGAGCTTGCAAGGTTTGCACTGCCAATGGGCTCGATATGCGTTTGCTGCGCTCACATTTCTTGCTACTTTAAGTGATTGTTTCCAGTGACAAAAGAGTCATTTCGCAACGGTTGAATAGTTATAAAGCTTCAACAGAAAAGCAACCAAGATAGCCTCTGAGCAAAACTAACCTCAAAGGCCGCCAACGCATGTCGTTACACCACCTCAAGATCGAAAGGAGAGCGGCACACTGGACAGGTATGACTTTCTTTGGATCCACTTACGGCCCAGCGTGCAATGCAGTCTTCGCAAAACACGTGGCCGCAGGGCAAAAGCGCCTTGCATTCTGGCTCCTCATCCATACAAATGCAGCAGCCACCCAATTTGGGCTTGAAAACTATTTTTGGGGTTGACTCGCTGACCTTAGTGATGGCGATCTCCTCATTGGCGCGGACGCGGACCTTGAAATGCGCAAAGGTCGGGCTGTCCCCGCACGGGTCGCTGCTGATGTTTGCCCAAACTCGATGTTGCCAGTTGATCTTGGTAAGGCGGGCAAAGATCCAGGTCTTGAGAAGGCTGATCGAAAGCAGCAGCAGCTGCAGAGCCGCACAGGGCAAGACATAGGCTGCCCAGTCTTCTCTCACTGCCGGGGTGATCAGCAGCACCGCAACTGCCACAAGCGCCATGAACTTGCCGGCCCATGACTTCCTCAGCTAACAAAAACACAAACACACATGAGGCACGGTCGCTATTACTTACTTGCGGCCGTTTCGCTACTTTGTTTGAGAGTTCCCTATCGTTTTCCAGCTTTTTGTGTTTTCTGAAAATTATCCTTCTACAAGTACTGTGGGAGTGGAAGAAGAGGAGCAGAAAGCGAGGCAAGGAGGGAAGGGAGGGAAGGGAAGGAAGGGAGGAAAGGGAGGAAGGGAGGAAGGGAGGAAGGGAGGAAGGGAGGAAAGGGAGCAAAGGGAGGAAAGGGAGGAGGGAAGGAGACGGAAGAGGAGAGAAGAGGACGGAAGTGGATGGAAGAGGACGGAAGAGGACGGAAGGACGGAAGGAACGACGGAAGGACGGAAGGAGGGAAGGAAGGATGGAAGGACGGAAGGACGGAAGGGCGGAAGGACGGAAGGAAGGAGAAGGAGGGAAGGAGGGAAGGAGGGAGGAAGAGAAGGTGGGAAGAAGGGACGGTGGGAAGAAGGGAAGGAGGGAAGGGCGCGGGGAAGGGGGGAGGGAACGGAACAAGAGGAAAGGGAAGGAAGGAAGCAAGGAATGGCCTGGGAGTTGGAACAGTGATATGTGGTAGCGTGAGTCTGGGTGAGCGGTGGTCTGGCCGTATTCTTATGTTTTCCGGGTATCGTTCAGGTATTGTTCGGGGCATCGTTCAGACCGTCTGCCAAGACTCGAAAATTCCGCCCCAGCAAATGCGCAGGAAATCACTACGTTTGCATTGCGTGCGTGCCCTTCGCAACCCGCGCTGCTGCGCGACTTGCAAGTTGGCTTTGTTCTGGCATTCGCACCCACCCGGCCCGGCACGCGCAGTTGCAAACGGAACCGCAAGACGAGCGCGCATCCCAAACAGCGTTCCCAAACGGCGTTCACCACGCCAGTCTCGCAGCACCCGGCGCAAACAAAATAAATGCGCCTCCATCATTGTGGAAGGGGATTTGGTTCCATGGAGCTGTTGCTGGACAGGGGAGAGTTCGTGAAGCTTGTAGTCGAGCAACAACAGCACTTCCTTTCGGAGGGACATCTTTGGACTTGTCGGGCGAGGCTGTTAGGCCTGCAGGAATCACAGCCAAAGTCAGAGTCGCAACGGTATTCACACGAAGCCTTTTGCGCCCTTCAACATCCCTTGCATCATGCTCTTTCCTTGAACTTTGGAACATAATTCACCGGAAGCTTTTGCGCAAACCTTCTCGACAGTGAAAGGCCAAAGCTCGCCGTCAGTCTCCTAGTTCGTGATGGACGGCCTGCTACTTTTCTTCTTCTTGTCTCTTGGCGACGTTTTCGGCGTGTCCCCACTAGCGGTCTTTTCGGCTTTCGGGGCAGGTGTGGCTTTCGAAGCTGGCGGATGCTGCCACGGACACTCTCCTAAGGAGAAGGCGAAGACTAAACCGAAGGCAAAGTCGGAAGCGAAGGATGCCCAGGATTCGGCACCTGTGCTTCCGGACAAGAAGAAGCCGAAGGAGAATGCTAAGCCTTCCAGAGTTCGTGAAGATCTCGGGGTTTGCTGGATAGGGTTCCGGGGATGGTTTCACAACATTTCTTGCTGGGTTCAACGGTTCAGAGCAATCCAGGCTAAGAGCTAGAGGTCTGCAAGGGTTTCGCGGGGTCAGGCCAAGGAGCGCTAACAAAACCCAATGTCATATGGGGGAGTTGGCGCGAGTCAAATTCAGCAGGATTCCTGTCAAAATAATACTTCTGCTGATTTTAGTATTCGGCGTTTCATTGATGTTGTGGCAATACACAAAACCATGGCAAACGATAGGGGGGACGGAGCTATGTTTTTACTCATGTGAGGAGCGGACGAAACCCTTTACTTGGCCTTAGTACTTTTTTTAACGTCATCGTTTTTGGGGGAGACCTCATCGTTTTACAGTGTTTTCGAACTTTGGCAGATCCGGCTCCAAAATCGCAACTTTCTAGCACAAGTCTAGTACGCGAAGTACACTTCCGCAGCTCCAGCTCGAAATTCGCAACTTTGTAGTACAAGTCTAGTACGCGAAGTACACTTCCGCAGCTCCAGCCCGAAAATTGCGAAATACAATTCCGCAGCTCCAGCTCGAAAAGCGAAACTTGGCAGGCAGTACAAGTCTAATACGCGAAGTACACTTCCGCATCTCCAGCTCGAAAATCGCAACTGTGCAGTACAAGTCTAGTACGCGAAGTACACTTCCGCATCTCCAGCTCAAAAATCACAACTTTGTCGTGCAAGTCTAGTACGCGAAGTACACTTCCGCAGCTCCAGCTCGAAAATCGCAACTTCGTAGTACAAGTCTAGTACGCGAAGTACACTTCCGCAGCTCCAGCTCGAAAATCGCAACTTTGTAGTACAAGTCTAGTACGCGAAGTACACTTCCGCAGCTCCAGCTCGAAAATCGCAACTTTGTAGTACAAGTCTAGTACGCGAAGTACACTTCCGCATCTCCAGCTCGAAAATCGCAACTTTGTAGTACAAGTCTAGTACGCGAAGTACACTTCCGCATCTCCAGCTCGATCATCGCAACTTTGTAGTACAAGTCTAGTACACGAAGTACACTTCCGCATCTTCAGCTCGAAAATCGCAACTTTGTAGTACAAGTCTAGTACGCGAAGTACACTTCCGCAGCTCCAGCTCGAAAATCGCAACTTTGTAGTACAAGTCTAGTACGCGAAGTACACTTCCGCATCTCCAGCTCGAAAATCGCAACTTTGTAGTACAAGTCTAGTACGCGAAGTACACTTCCGCATCTCCAGCTCGAAACTCGCAACTTTGTAGCACAAGTCTAGTACGCGAAGTACACTTCCGCATCTCCAGCTCGATCATCGCAACTTTGTAGTACAAGTACACGAAGTAGTACGCGAAGTACACTTCCGCAGCTCTCCAGCTCGAAATTTTGTAGTACAAGTCTAGTACGCGAAGTACACTTCCGCATCTCCAGCTCGCAACTTCAAGTCGCGCGAAGTACTTCCAGCTCGAAAATCGCAACTTTGTAGTACAAGTCTAGTACGCGAAGTACACTTCCGCATCTCCAGCTCGAAAATCGCAACTTTGTAGTACAAGTCTAGTACGCGAAGTACACTTCCGCATCTCCAGCTCGAAAATCGCAACTTTGTAGTACAAGTCTAGTACGCGAAGTACACTTCCGCAGCTCCAGCTCGAAAATCGCAACTTTGTAGTACAAGTCTAGTACGCGAAGTACACTTCCGCATCTCCAGCTCGATCATCG